GGGGGGGAAGTCTATAAATAGCCTCCAGTAAGTTGCACCACCAAAAATATTTGCATTGATCTTAGACCTTTTACAGTGTGGTGTGGTGTGATGGTGGGCATGTTTATGACCTCCCTGCCACAGAGAAAGCCTTCACTAAACACTGCCATCATCATTGTCCTGCCCGGCTGCTAGGAATGCATAGGGCTATGCACACTTGTTCCTTTAAAGACGTCCATTTCGTGTGGCTTTCATGGCCCATAGAAAGCAAAGTGCATACTGCAGGCAGCAGTATACTGGGAAGGAATGGTTGGGGGTGGGGGAAGATGGCAGGATGCTCCCTGGGGGCCTCCAGTCCCCTCATTGCTAAGTACTGTACTTTGACAGTGGGACCAGGCCTGGGCTAGGGCTGTCTTAGGATAGGCTCCCAAACCTGAAGCTCATCCCCTCACCAGGCAGGGACGAGCATATATAGGTGTCTACAAATGTTGGCAAGTTGATGGCTCTCTCCTGCGGGAGTTGAAGATCTCTCATTGAATCAAAAACTCGGCATTTCTGCTAGGCTAGCTGGCCAGCAAGCTCTCAAGCAGGATTGCCCTGACTCTTGTCACTGGGTCACAGGCATGTGCAGCTGTACCTTGCTTTGTTATGTGAGTGCTGGAGATTCCAGCTTAAGCCCCTATGCTTGAGGATTTACCCACAGAGCGATCTACCCAGTCCCGAGAAATTAGTCTTCTTAAAGAGGGTCTTTCAATAGGGAGTCTAAGCTAGTATCTTATCAAAGGCCCAGGCAGATAGCATTTCCTATACCCAGTCTGTATACAGGATATTCTTAACTCCACAGAGGGAAAGGGAGAATAAAGTGATTTTTAGCATTGCTTTTAGGGTTTCACAAGCCTTCCAGGGAAGCCTGAGCTTTGGAGTGTTTCTACCTCTATGGACCAGCAGGGGGCGCTCATAGGTCTTAAACAACAGCTGGCGCTGGCCTCCAGGGTTTAAAGCCTTGTAGCTAGCTGCTAGGCATACAGGTTTGTTTACACTTCAGCCATATGAATCTGAAGGATAGGCTTCACACGGCCAGTGAGAAGCTCTCAGCCCACAGCTTGCTTTTAGAAAAAGCAACATTCAAAATATGCTTTCAGGTACACCAATTCTAAAAGATGCTGGTTGGAAGGTAACACTTCTGGCTTCCTATATTCTCTTGAAGCGTCACCTCTGACTTGAGCACAGTAAAGGCTCTGGGAAATTTCACAGTTAAGAAACTAACCAAGCTACGTATTTCTCTTTAACATTTTCCAGGTGGGTGGTGGTGGGGCACATCCTTAATCCCAGCTCTCAGAGGGGAGGCAGAGGCAGGTGGTGAATCTCTGAGTTTGAGGCCAGCTTGGTTTATAGAGTTCCAGGAGAGCAAGGGCTACACAGAGAAACCCTGTCTCAAAAAAGAACAACAAAAACCAATACACTGAAGATTATTAAGAGGTACACTAAGATAGTGGGCGCTGGGGTGTGGTGGCGCACGCCTTTAATCCCAGCACTTGGGAGGCAGAGGCAGGTGGATCTTTGTGAGTGAGATGTCAGCCCGGTCTACAGATTGAGATCCAGGATATTCAGCAGTACTGTCTTGGGAAAAAAAAGAAACATAAAAAAGAAGAAAAGTGGGGGAAAGCTCCAAGCCAGCTCAGATGGCTTGGGGTTCCCCATGAGAAGTCTTTCATGTGCCCAGCCCTTCAGCTCTTGCTAGCTGCAGTCCCTGCCCCCCTCCTTTTTTTGTTTTTGTTTTGTTTTTGGAAACAGGATTTCTTTACATATCCCTGGCTGCCCTGGAACTCACTGTATAGACCAGGCTGTCCTCGAACTCTGCCTGTCTCTGCCTCCCAAGTGTTGGGATCAAAGGCATGTATCCCCATCACACCTGAAGGCTTCCCACCCTTCCAGCTGCTTTGGGGGCTGTCGATTCTCTGAGGGAAACTACCCTTTCAGCCCTTAGTTCTTGATCCCTTATGTATTCATCATGACTACCAGGACTGTGCAAACCCATGTTGAGGACTCTAAGGTTGGGAAGCTCATACCTCGGATGAGGTTGCTCCTGAGAGAATGGGCAGCTGGTAGCCCAATCATATACAGAGTTCTTCCTTCCATGGAAGGAAGCCCGTTTGAGTTTAAAGTAAGCAAAATAATAAAACCATTTCAGACCCAAAGGAGCAAGTCAATTACATCAGACTCTGATGGGTCATAAAGTGAAAGAATCTTGGGCTGGAGAGAGGGCTCAGCGGTTAAGAGCACTGAGTGCTCTTCCAGAGAACCTGAGTTCAATTCCCAGCAATGACAGGTTGGCTCACAACCATCTCTTTTGGGATCTGGTGCCCTCTTCTGGTGTGCAGGTGTACATGCAGATAAAGTGCTTATATACATAAATCTTTAAAAAAAAAAACAGTAAATGAATCTTCCTGTGATGCATCAATCCTAGACTACGGTTTCCACTTGGTTATGAAATTAATAGGCTTTGAGGCACGAGGAAGGAAGGTCATAAGCATGTTGAGTAGAACATAAAAGAGAAGGAATCGTAGCCCATGCTTATAAGTCTACCACTTTGGAGGTTGTAGTAGAACTGCCAAGATTCAAGGCCAGCTGGAGTACACAGTTCCTGGCCGACCTGGTCTAAAGAGTAGGACCCTGTTAACAAAACAAACCAACGAAACCATGGGGAAAGTAAAGCCATGCCCTGTGTAACTTCGATCTTCCCGCCCCCTCCTCACATTCTGGTTTCCTGTTTCTCTGGGTGGGGACCATGACACATCCATGACCAGTAAAGGATATGTGGATGGAAGAGAGAGGAAGTGAGTCAGCCACGCCCTGCAGCACGCTCTGCTCCGTCTTCACAGGCGGTAGGTGAGGCCTGCTTTCCAGGTGGACAGGGGTGAGAGACAGGGAGAGCTGCTGCTGGCTCAACCCCCACGGTTGCTGGGCACACTCTGGGGAGGTTTGACTTTGGAAAGATGTATCCTGGGGAGGGCTGCCACTCCAGTGGCCATTGGGCCCACGACCCAGAAGCTGGCTAAGAATCTGATTTTCCCAGATGTGGGGAGGTACAGTTGTCAAGGGACAATTTGGTAGGGGACTCTGATAGGATTTGGGGACTCCTCTTGGAGAGACAGGACACAGAGGAGAATCTAGAGACCTAGTCAGCATTGAATTGCCCAAGGGAACCCCAGCTTGTGGCTGGACCTTTCTGGACAGGGTGGCAAGAGCAAGTGGGTCCTTATAGGCACTTCTTGGAGGTGAAGGCTGGCTTCTGCCCTCTGATGCTAGCCCCTGGCTGCTTTGGTCCTGCTGTGTGAGATGGCCCTGTGGATCAAGTAGCACCTGTTGTAATACTGAGTCCACAGCCTGGGACACAGCCCTGCTCAGCTCTTTCCTCAGAGTCTCCACCAAAGCCCGTGGACCAGGAGGACAGAGCATAGGCTCCTCTGACTGTTGTAGAACCTCAGCTGCTCTGGGCTTCACTGCTCCACAGACGTCCTTGCTGGAACTCTGGTGAGCTTTGTTCATAGTCCAGGCACGAGATGGGAAGCTGCTCCTCAGCTTTGCCCTCAGGGAGCTGCTCGGCTCAGTACCTCCTGGGCTCTGTGCTAGTGCTCTGGGTTCAGTGGCCTGTAGGACATGCTCCTGCAAATGTCTTAGCTGTTGCTTCAGCAGATGAAGCTGTTCTTTCACCCGGGTCCCGCCCTTCTTGGGCCCGCGATCCCAGGCAGGGCTAGATTTCAGGGGACCTTGGTGCATGGGAAGGCTCTGCTTTCTCTTCCGCTCCCGGACCTTTTCTGGACAGAATGAGCTCTCTCTGGCTCTGCCTGACACCAGCGAACTAGGAGAGAGACACATGCCTCGGACAATGGTCTCTACTCTGGCCCTCTTTGCCTGGATGTGCTCATCCCAAAACCAATCAGCATCTGTGAGGCTGGATCTGGGCAGTTGACCACTGAGAAAGGAGGAGTCTCTGCCCACCTCTGCGGTGGGTGGGCATCTCTCTTGTTCCATGCAGGATTCTGCCAGATGGATGCAGGTCTGAGACTGAGGAGAAAGCAAGACAGCAGGCAGATCCATCACCTGCCTCTCCGGCTGCTCGTGCAGAACCCCAGAAGGAGCGCAGGTCCTTTGAGAGCCCTGCTAAATTGAGCAGTAAGTGGTGGGCCAGACCATGCTGAAGGGTCTTCTTCACACACAGAAGGGTGAGAATCAGCTGCTTCTGGGATTCAGGAAGGCCAGGGTGATGGAACCTCTGGGACCGACTCCTGAAGCCAAAGACAAGAAGAAAACTATAGATACCAATTAGAGCTATGCTTTTCAAACTTGAATAGGCACAGGAACCACCTTGGGAACTTGATAAAGTACAGGTTTCAATTCAGCCAATCTGGAACAGGGCAGAGATTCTGCATTTCCAACTAGCTACCACACCATGTACACTGGGCCCTCATTTTGAGAAGTTTCCCAAAGAGAACCTCTAGAGGAAGTTTGAGCAGAATAATAATGGTAGCAGGATATGGTGGTGCACACATTTAATCCCAGCCTTCATGAGGGAGAGGCAGATGGATCTCCATGAGTTAGAGGCCAGTCTGGGCTACATAATGAATTCCAGGACAGCCAGAGAGTGCCACATAGGGAGACCTGTGTCAAAACAACAAAAGATGATGGGGCCAACTGAACAGCCTACCCAACATCCCCGGGCTCTAAGCCATGAAGGGGTTACTTTGCTACAGTATCTGTACACAGCTAGTATGAAGTCAGGCTAAGCCTGGTCAGATCCAGAGTGAGTGAGAACAACAGAGTTACCTGGGTACTCTTTTAAAATAGCAAAGTCCTTTGGTTTCATTAGAATAATAGGGCCCTGGTAGTGGGCCAGGAACTCCCCAGTCCAGACTGGGTCTTACATAGCCCAAGGTAGCCTTGAACTTCCTGTGTAGCTGAGAGTGAACCTGAACTTCTGATCCCCCTGCATGCTGCAATTACATGTGTGCACTCTACCAGCAGAGAGTTACATCCCCAGATATGTTTGAGTTTTGAAACAGTGTCTCCCTGTGTAGCCCATGCTGGCCTTGACCTGGAAATCTGCTGCTGCAGGTGCCCAAGTATTGAGAGCTACTACACACCTGAACCCAAGAATCTTTTTTTGTTTTCTGAGACAGGGTTTCTCTGTGTAGCCCTGGCTGTCCTGGAACTCACTCTGTAGACCAGGCTGGCCTCGTACTCAGAAATCCGCCTGCCTCTGCCTCCCAAGTGCTGGGATTAAAGGCGTGTGCCACCACTGCCCGGCTGAACCCAAGAATCTTATTTGAAACAAGTTTGAGAGTCACTGATGTTTTACCGCAGTGCTGCCCTGCATCCCTGAGCCCAGATGATGCACTGTTAGCTTAACCGTCTAGTCAGGAGCTACTTACTGAACACCTGCTAGGGTCAGGCCGCTGCAGTGGAAGGGCTGCAGTGATTAAGACCAGAAGTCTGTTCTCAGGAAACTCTGGGGGCTAGGAGGGGAAGTAGAAACCAGTTCTTAGGTTATGAGGCCTGCTATGAAGAAATCACGTAAAGAGCAGAAACTGGGAGAAGATATAAGACGGAAGCTGTTTTAGGGAAAGCCACTTGGAAATGTTCTAGACACCCAGAGTCTGCTGATGAGGCATCTAACAGATGAGGCAGGACAGATGACAGCACATGTGGCAACTCACTGTCTCACGCCAATCCTGGATCTGGATTATTCCCCCATTTTTGTAGACAAGTAAACTTGGGCTCTGTGCTGTCAGGAGCAGCTCCTAGTTACTAGAATCTTCTGACCCCAGCCACACTTCAGCTGCCTCCATTTGACTGGTTTCTCTCTGTGTTAAGCAGATTCACCATTTTCTACAGGAGATAAATGAATTCCCCTTTTACAGACTTCCACCCTTGTTTGCCCTTCTTGAACCAAATATCAGCTGAAGGGGCTGGAGAGGTCTCGGCAGCTCGGCACACAAGCCTGATGACCCCAGCACCAGCATAAAACCCAGTTATGGTGGTGTGTGCCTGGAATCCCACCAATGGGGAGGCAGAGACGGGAGATTTGGAAGGCAAGCCAGTCTAGCTGAATCAGTGAACTCCAGGCTCGATAAGAAACAAACGCACACGCACATGGATGTGCCCACACAACTGACGGCAGAGAGCTGACTTATTTCTATTACCCTGAGCCTTGCTCTTTTGTTGTTTGAAGACCTGCCAGTGATATCTGCCCTTGGCTTCAGCCTCCACCCCAGGCCTCTGGGTGACTGGCAGAGACACTCAAGTTCCCCATGCTCTGCAAATGAGCAGAGGCAGTGACACCTGCAGCCCCATCATGGGGAAATACACCACTGAAAGAAAGTTGGGATCATGGGTCAGATTAATTAGGGGATTTCCATTTTGAATAAGACATTTGTAAATTATTAAAGAGCCAGGTATGGTAGCTCAGGCCTCTAATCCCACTATGTAGTGAGTTCCAGGTTATCCAGGGGCTACACAGGAAGACCCTGTCTGAAAAAAATTTTTTTAAAGATTTATTTATTTATTATATATGAATACACTGTAGCTGTCTTCAGACACACCAGAAGAGGGCATCAGATCTCATTACAGATGGTTGTGAGCCACCATGTGGTTGTTGGGATTTGAACTCAGGACCTCTGGAAGTGCAGTCAGTGCTCTT